TCGCTCCATAAACACCCATACATAATCGGACGCCTCTGCCTATCCGAAGGACATATATTGCTGTAACTCAACTTTACTGTGATGTGAACCTGTGAACTAACTAAAACCCAATTCAAAAAGGCATTTTCTTTATAACTATTTTCTCTGTTTTAAAGCCCTGTGGAATATTTAGAGATGATGGCAAACCTCCGACAGGTTTTGATTAAGTAAGTAAAAGACGTAAGACCCTAGTGTGAAACGCTACCCATCTCGACATTTTAGCGGTTTACTACCTATGTCAGATTGTCCGGTCGGTTGGGTCTACATGGGCTGAAAATTCTAAATGAACTGTATCTAGATAGATATATAGATACAAAATTTTTATGCACTGAAATTAAATAAATTTGGTACAAAGGCGAACTTAACGCCGAAAGGTATTCTCTGCCAGCTACACACACACGCATATATAAGTCAATGTACCCTAGTTATATATGTATATATATTGGGTAAATTGACTTCACACGTTATTGCAAGGTATCCGATCGAGTGACGTGGTGCTGACTGGAGATATCAACATTCATATTTTCCCTGGCAATACTACGCGTATTTCGGATACAGTGCGTTAATTGTCCTACAAATGATAAGGTTTGCCTTGAACCATTTCATGGTAAAATACAAATATTAAACATCTACAATTGTAATTGAAAATTTCACTGACCACTGCCCGATACGTTAACATATAATTTTTACGTGGTAGAGCCATGCTGCAGCTATATTAATGATATAGTTGTAGCACGAATGGGTCGGCTCGACCGGAGGATCCCGCTCTCACAGAATACCATAGTCAAATAGCAGCTTAACGCTGCTGTTTTTCGTTTGGTGAGTGTAGACAACTGGAGACTCTTTTTTCTGGAAACGAGGCATTCCATCTTAGTCCGCATGGGTGACAACGTATCTGCATTTTGATGATTTTGGTTTTCGAGGATAGATGTAGATGTCTATGGGTCACAGCAACCACTTACAATCAGGTAGACTGTGTGCTCGTTTGCCATCCTTAAACTCTTAAAAAAATATATAAAAAGACACAAAAGCTATGAAATCACTAACCAGCAGGAAAACACGAACATTTATTTTGAAAAAATTTCGGAGATATTAAAAATCTACAATTGGGATTTTTTCTATCGTATTACAGCTTCGATCAATTAATTGATCGAAGTATTACAGACCCTAATTACGCAGCTGCCACGCTGAATAATACATTAAGGGACCTGACAGAATCTCAGAGTATCCTAGCAAAAACAAATAAAATGTATAATAATAAAAAATATAACCTTGAAAAACTAACGAGACAAACTCAACGTGAAAGTCAAAAATCTCTTTGATGATGAACAACTTAAATCTTATGTGGAATATAGAAATACTTGTACAAAATAGTAAAATCACTGAAAATCGAATATTATAAAAACAAGCTGATATCAAGCAATTTTAACACTAGACACACGGATAGTAATAAAAGACTTTTGTGAATTAAGACAGAATAAATCTAACTCACAAGAACTCCTAAACATTGATAACAGCCCAAGAGAGGAATTTAATAGTGTAGATTCTTAGAGAGGGGGATAAGTCGCTCGCGTCCGTAGGCTTAGGTACCGTAGGTCCGTAGTCCCTAGGCCACCTATTCCTAGGCCCACCCTACACGTGTCCCCCAGGTGGTGCTAAATATGTGACAAGCCGATAGCACAGACTCGGCTCCACGCCATGGTAGCGGCGTAAAATATACTACCCCATATCTCGCACCATGAGGAACCAAAGAAAAGAAATGGCCCCAAGTTCCCGGCGCCCCTTGAATGGAGCAGGGGTGCGAAGAATCTCCGGGAGGAAAACTGGCGACGAGCTTCGCCACCCGTCACGTTCTGTCTCCCAGAGAGGCGAAAAGTGGATTGCAGAGGCCCTTCTGGCTACGTTGAATGTATGTGGGGCAATGAATGATAAAATGGATGAAATATGCGATACGATGAATGATAGAGGAATAGATGTATTATGTGTAAATGAGACGAAAAGGAAGGGGAAGGATGTCACTGCACATGACATGTATACCGCATACTGGTCTGGTGTAGACGAGATCGAGCGGGCATGCCAGGGAGTAGGTATCATCCTTTCAGAAAGAATGGGCCAATGTGTGAAAGAGTATGAGTGTGTAAGCCCAAGAGTGCTATGAATACGAATGAAAGTGGGCTTAAGGAAGTTGTTTGTGTTAGGGGTCTACGCCCCAGACATGTCTAAGCCCACTTATATCCGAGAGCAGTTTTGGGAAATGGTAAGGATGGTGTTAATGAAGTGTAAGGGAAATGAAAATATTATTATGCTAGGAGATTTTAATGGAAGGGTTGGGGTGAGGAGGCTTGGTTATGAAAGGATATTGGGAACGTTTGGTGATAAAAGTATAAATGAGAATGGTGAAAGTCTCTTCACCGTATGTATGGAAAAGAATCTTTTTGTGACGAACACTTGCTTTCGCCACAAGAGGATTCATATGCATACTTGGGAAAGAGGTGACGATAGAAGCATGATAGATTTCATAATTGTGGATAAAAGATTGAGGAGCGCAGTGGTGGATACAAGGGTTTACCGGGGTTCTAACGTAGGAGCGGATCATTATTTGATTTTATGCCGAATTAATGGTCTGTTCAGGCGTTGGCGCCATCGGTCATCTGTGTCTACCAGTGCGTTACAGCGTGTTAGAACAGAAAGGTTGCAAGATGAAGGTGAGAAAAACAAGTTCAAATGTAGACTGAAAGATTATATAAGTGGTTTGGATGAATTATATATGAAGTAGTTAGACTTGGAGAATGTATGGCAAAACGTAAAGAAAGGTTTAGTGGATTCAGCTACCGAAGTATGTGGTGTTAGTAAGAGAAAGAATGAAAGGAAAAATAATGCGATATGGTAGGATGATGAGATACGTATGGAAGTTGAAGCAAAGAAGAGAGCATGGCTAGATTTACTAGCAACAAAGGCTGGTAATTCTAGCGGTACGAATGATGATATTGAAAGAAAAAGGCAGTCTTTAGACATCTTAATAAGAGAGTAAAAGAAGTAGTTGAAAGAAAAAAGCAAGAAAGAATGGATAAGAATGATAGAAGAATATCGGATAACTTCCAGGCAAATATTAAAATGTTCTGGAAACTTGTAAGAACTGCCAGGGGACATTCAAAACAGCCTATGATGAATGCTATAAGAGACGAGAATGGCTATATTCTGAATGATGAAGTTTTGAGTTTAAGGAGATGGAAGGAATATTTTGAAAGCGTGTTTATGAGTGAGGAGACAACGTGTGTTACTAAGTGAAGTAGAAACTCCGAAAGAATAGGAAAGAGGTAGCGAGATAAGTATAGATGAAATAATGAAAGCAATGAAAAGCATGAAAGCAGGTAAGGCTGCCGGATATGATAGAGTTTCACTCGAAATGCTAAGGGCTGGAGAGGAAGTGGTGAGAGGCCTGCTGCACACCTTGTTTAATTTATGCTGGGAACTGAAGCGGGTACCGGTAGACTGGTGCAAAGCCGTGATAGTCCCAGTATATAAAGGAAAAGGGTTGCAGCAGGACTGTAAAAACTTCCGTGGCATCAGACTTCTTAGCATTGTCGGAAAACTGTATGCTAAGGTACTGATTGAAAGGGTCATGAAAGAAACTGATTGAAAAATTTGGGATGTGCAAGCGGGATTTAGAAAGGGAATGGGATATACAGATCAAGTCCTTTCCATGCGCATGATCGGGGAGAAGTTTTTGGCCAAAAACCAAAAGGTTTTTTGTGGGTTCATGGACTTGGAAAAGGCCTATTACAGAGTGGATAGGGATGTGCTACGGCAAACACTGAACTCATTTGGGTTGAGAGCTGGCTTGATACTGGAATTGGAGTCTCTTTATGGGGACTCTAGTGCTTGTGTTATGATCAACGGGGTCTACTCGGACTGGTTTGACATCCATAAAGTTGTCAGACAGGGCTGTGTGGCTTCCCCGTGGCTGTTCAACCTATTTATGGACAGTTGTTTGCAAAATTTGAAAGTTGAAGAATGCGGTTTATGAATGGGTGAGTTATCCGTCAAATGCCTTTTGTACGCCGATGATCAAGTTATCCTTGCGTCGTCGGCGGCCGAGTTGCAAATGATGGGTACATTAATGAATGTGTATATGATAAATGAATGATAATGAAATGAATGCAGATCATTAAAAGAAAGGGGTATGAAAGTGAACGCAAGTAAGACGAAGGTTATGGTTTTTGAAAGAGAAGAAAGTGAAATGATTTGTGAAATAAGAATAGAAGGGGGGTTGATCGAGCAAGTAGATGAGTTTGTATATTTGGGCTGCGTATTTAGCAGGGATAGGAGATATGATAAGGATATAAAGAACGACGAGTGAATGCGGGAAATAGAGTAGGGTGCTTATGTGAAGAGTAATGTGTCGAAAAAGGAGTATGGCAATTCACAAGCGTGTTGTCCTACTTTGTGTGAAAGTTGGGTGTGGCAGAAGAAGCACGAGAGTAGAATGAACGCAGTAGTAATGCGGTCGTTAAGGAGTATGTTAGGGCTGAATCTGAATGACAGGGTAAGAAATTGTGTAATAAGAGAAGAGTGTGGTTTGCAAGACGATGTTGTGACCAGGATTAAGAAAGGAATGCTTCGGTGGTTTGGTCATGTGGAAAGAATGAATGAGGAAAGAGTGACAAAGAAAATTTATGTTGCAGAAGTGAATGGCAGAGTTGGAAAGGGACGTCCTAGGCGAAAATTTATCGACCAAATTGGCGATTTATTGAAAACCGGCCAAATGAGGAGTACCCTTAACCGACGACCATGTATGCGTAGGTGTATGGATGTGAAGGAGGCGAGAGAGATGTGTCAGGATCGTGCCAAATGGAAGTCTGTAGTCTCTGCCTACCCCTCTGGGTGACAGGCGTGAGTGTTTAAGTATTATGTATGTAAATAGATTCTTTACGATCATTGTCAGTAACTTGGCAGAACGCATGCATAACAAGCTTGGTAAATCAGAATTAGAACTAGCAAATGATGCATTATCTCTGGGCTAACTCAAATTAATTTCGGGCATATTAGAAGTAAGACATACAAAACTAAGTCTTAAATCAAGTAGTGCCTCTGGATATGATAGCATTACGGCCAAACTGTTGAAAATGTCGACCCACAAATTAGCTCAGGTTTTAAGTTGGCAACTATCATTCCCATCTATAAAGCAAACTTAATCCATCCAGATATAGATCTCTGTAATCAAAAGTATCAAAAATAATAGAAGAAACTAATCTTTAAATATTTAGAAAATAATAATCTACTAGCGCCAAACTAGTATGATTTTAGAACGGGTTGGTCCACCAATGTTGCATGATGATGATTGCTAGATTTGCCAAACATATATCGACATATCTCGTTGCAGGAGAAAAATGCGTTAGGGTTTGTTTTAGATCTTCAAAAAGCTTTTGACACCGTCTCAATTTCAATCTTAATTTCACTATATGTACTGCAAAATATTGGCATCACGGACTTACCCCTTCTATGGATTTCCAACTACTTATAAAATAGAAAACAACGAATTCGCACTTGCAACCAATTGAGCGATACTGTAAACGACTCCTATGGTATACCCCAGGCAAGCACATTAGCAGCAACCCTATATTTTATTTTAACCCTATTTTTAATGAACTGAAAACACAAGGCATTCCAGATGCCAGCTTAATAATGTTTGCTGATGATACTGTGCTGCTGTTTCAAGGAATGGACTCTCAAACTTTTCAAAAACTAACTGAAATTGGCTTAATTAGAGTAAATAAATGGTTGGAAAACAGTTTACTTACGCTGAGCATCTCCAAAACAAAACACATTTGCTTGAGAAATACTAAAGCATCGAATTAAACACCCAGCACCCCCATAGAAAGTGTAACAAACATTAAATACCTGGGTGTAAAAATAAATGAAAATCTGTCACAGTGTCTACACATTTCGAATACGGCCAAAAGAATAAAAAAAAAACTATTATTTATTTTCAGATAACTTAGAACAATAAATAACTAACAACTTTTAGTCCAGACCTATAATGCTCTATGCCACCGTTTAATAAATTGCTGTATTTATTCTTGGGGTTGTTTTTGAAAGAAAGAAATATGCTAGCAAGATAAAAGAATTAAAAAAGCAAAATTTCTCTTTTAGACCATAATACGAAACATAATTCAAACACAAAAATTTTAAGGTTTTTTATCAGTAGTTATATTAAGGTACTTTATCAGTGACTAACCCATGTATGATTAGGTACTTTTTTAGTGAATCATACCTATACACATACAAAGTAATTTTATATAAAAATATCGATTACATGATAATATAACAGACTAATCACGGATTTCGTAGAAAAGTTATATTACCATGATTATTATAAAGTGACGAAAATTACTAAGTAGATTCATTATATAGTAGGCAGTGAATAGCTGTGTTTTGATCTCTTGAGAAGCTAAACTACAATGTCTAAATTATTTTTACTTTTGACGATAGTGTATTGTAAGTATTGTTTTTTGTAAAATCCAAAGCCTGAAGACATATTTGTTAAGCATTCGGTTCGGTTTTCTATTTAATTTACTTTATTATAATGATTTATTTCATTTATAGTCCACTAAATTGTTTTTAAATATTTTATTGACTCCAAACTTATTTATGTACGATATTAAATGGACAAATACTAAATTTACAATTTAAAAAGAAGAACCGACAAGAAATTACAGGGTCAGCGTTTTTCGTTTCAATACTTTCAATAAAAAAAAATTATCCCATTTTATATTTGTAATATTAAAACAGAATTAACTATTACATTTTTTATTACGTTAAGCAAGCTGATGTGTAAATGTGCACTTCCTGTTATTTTTCTAATTTATTTGGAGAACTAAAGCCATGACAGTAGAAGGATTAAGATTATGCAGCCAGTTATTTATTCTTTTTTTATAGGATATGGTGAAAAACGAGCACACAGTGCACGTGATGGTAAGTGGTTGTTACTGTGGCCCATAGACATCCACATCTCTCGATTACGAATCAAAATGCAGATGCGTTGTCACTCGTGAGGACTAAGATGGAATGCCTCGTTTCCAGTAAAAGGGTCTCCGGTTCTCTTCACTCACCATACGAAACACAGCAGCACTAAACTTCTATTTTACGATGGTATTTTGTGAGAGCGTGGCCCTTCCCTGGTCGAGCCGACTCATTCGTGCTAAAGTTATACTACTAATTTATCTGCAGCACGGCTCTACCTCTTACAGTTCTTAAAGTAATACTTATAATAACTTATATTAATTTGCAGGGGTAAATGCGGCACAATTTAATCAAGATGTTACAAATAGAATAGTAAATGGAAACATTGCATCTGAACTTCAATTTCCATACATGGTAAATAAATAGACTGCATTTCATTGATATTTAATCTTTAATTTAGTTGTTTTCACACTGCTATTGAAGTTAAAATAATTAGAATACAACTATAATATAGTTTAGGGTTGTTGTTATTTATAATATTTTTATATAACGACATAAATACTAACATAATAAAAATACTTAATATTACTAACATAATAAATACTAACATAATAAAATACCAACAAAATAAAATACTTGAACATAGAGCTTTGCTCGGAGTTAGAACAAAATATAATTTTCACAGCGATGATTCCTTACCTGGGTAAACTCGAAAAGTTAAACATTATCTGAAAACAAACTCATTAATTTAATTTAAGCCCTTTATTTGCTAAGATGTCGATACGTATTCTGCACTTTAATTGTAGTTCCTTATCGCTCTATGTCAATCCCAATACAAAAAAAAACTGTTGCTACTAGGTCTCCTTACAACAATTAGGCAACGCTCAGTCGTCAGACACAAGAGGACACAGATGCGGAGGTGTGCTTGTTACTTTACAACATGCGCTAACCGCCGCATCTTGCCTGTTCGATGTTGTTAGTGGGTAAGTGCACTTTGGAGATTTATTGCAAAATTATCATACATAAACAAACACGTCCTACTAATTATTAACCCGCATATTAATGGAAAGATAATCCATTACCCAATTTTATGTTATAAATAATTGGACACAAAATGAAATTTTAATATGCATAAATGAAAACAATTTTATAAATGACTGTAAAAAAAATACCTTTACCTTTACATCCCATTAAAAGTCTATAGGTAATAGGCCTTCATAGACAAACTATTTAATGGAGGGATATTTGACATATTTGCCACGCCAGGTGGGCGGATGGGCCACCGCAGTTTTTCTTTTAAATGTTTTTGTGAAGACACTGCTTTCCATCTCTTCATTTGTTTCCCTCTATCGCCCTTGAAGACAACCAAGAGATGATATGGGATAGTGGATATTCTTACACCGACAGTACATGGTCGGTACAATGAAATACAATAGACATACTAGGAACAACTCGTCACTTCGCTCATTCACACATATTTGAACATAAAATATTTTACAGATAATGTCACGGATATTTATCGCTAAATATTTCCAAAGCAGTCTGGGAATGCCCGCGAAACGCGGTAGTATTGTACTGTCGAAGTTTCGAAGGCTCTGGAATTACTATCAGATTGTGATCCCCGAGCGTGGTAATAACGACGACTATTCAGATTAAGAGATACATCATTGTATTACTATAAATTGAATGTAGACGATATCAAGGAATAATCTCCAAGATATTATAGGAATAATTTCATTATCGACATAAATTTCACGGCCTTTATTTGGGAAACTTCATTTTATAATAAGTCATTTACTTCACGAGCAAACCGATTTTGGAATTAATTTCCACCAAACGTTAAGCAAGCGGAATCTTTACTGAGTTTTAAAAATTACTTTTGGAGTATTAATTGAATTTTTTTCATACTATTAAATAATATAATATTTATATTTCCTATCTGTATTCGTACTTTATTTTATACAAAATATAAAATCAAGTACTTTATTTTAATTATTTTTAGGACGTGGTAGAACTATTCTGCAGCTACATTAGTGGTATAGTTGTAGCACGAATGGCTCGGCTCGACCGGGGAAGGACCACGGTCTCACAGAAAACCAGCGTAGAATACCAGCTTAAAGCTGCAAAGTTTCCAATGGTGATTATAGAGAACCGGATATACTTTTTACCGGAAACGAGGCATTTCATCTTAGAACTCGCGGATGTAAACGCATCTGCATTTTGATTCGTAATCGGGGTTAGATGTAATTGTCCGTGGGCCGCAGCAACCACTTACCACCAAGTGGGCTGTGTGCTCGTTTGTCACCCTTATCCTATAAAAATATTGAAGTATATAGAATTTTTTTTGCAATATTTTCAAATTTATGAACATATAGTCATATATCATGTTCTTGTTTTAAATATTTTATATATTTTATTTTTATATACTCATAAAAATACGTATTATTTAATTAAAATGATTAGCTAGGTCATATTGCTCCCTGACAAACGAAATTTGATAGGAAATTTAATAACAAACTTCAGATGAACGTTATTCATATGTTAAAATACAACATAAGCAAATTAAAAAAATATAGTTTTATGATTTTTTTACAAAATAAGAGTGACAAAGGAACACACAGTCCAACTGATGGTAAGTGAATGCTCTGGAGTATAGACATCTTCATCTAACCTCAATTACGAACCAAAAGGCAGATGCGCTGTCATAGCTGAAGACTAGGATATAATGCTTCGCATTCGATAAAGAGGGTTACCGGTCGGCGCTGGCGGGGCCGCGGATGTGTGCGAAAGTATTCCTGTGTTCCTGCCGATATGCGCCGAAGATGTAACACCACGGATTTTAATCGGTGCGAGTCCTAAAGAACCCGTTATTGTCCCGCGAGGCGGGTATGCGTAGGTAAAACGAGTAAAACAAAAAAGCCCATAAACATCTTCATTTTTATAGAATCAAAAATGTTGAGGAAGCAAAAGATTTTTATTGGTATTCTTTAAGAGCGTGGTCCCTGGTCGATCTGACCAATTCGTGCTACAACCATAACACAGCAGAAGCGCAGCACCCACGTAAATAATACAGCTGAAGCATTGTTTTACCACGTAAAAATATTCAATGTGGTTGAGCCATACTGCTGTCTTATAGTTGTAGCACGAATAGGTCGGCTCGGCCGGGCTTTCTCCGGTCTTTATCACACTCTCACAGAATAGGTAAAAGCCACACCACACATTTTTCGTCAGGAGGACTGTATGTTTGTTGTGTTTTTTTATAGGATATGGTAACAAACGAGCACGCAGTCCACCTGATGGTAAGTGGTTGCTGTGGCCTATAGACATCTACATCTATCCTCGATTACGAATCAAAATGCAGATGCGTTGTCACTCGTGAGGACTAAGATGGAATGCCTCGTTTCCGGTAAAAAGGGTCTCCGGTTCTCTACACTCACTATACGAAACACGGCAGCATTAAGCTACTATGTGACGCTGGTATTCTGTGAGAGCGTGGTCCTTCCCCGGTCGTGCCGACCCATTCATACTACTAATATAACTGCAGCATGGCTCTACCACGTATAAATTTTGTAATTAAATGTTACAATTTATTTGATTGATTACTTTTATTCAACGATTGAAAAATCAGTCCTTAATATTGCAAGTTGGACCTATCCGTCAAAATATTTAATCACAATTTCCTGTCATGATAGGTTTGTCAGGTAGTGACATGACCACCGTTTCTACGGTCCACGTTTTCGATTATTGTAGTTATTTGAGATTTAATTGCAATAAAAGTTGCGTTTTTCTCTATCTTTATTTTCCAGGTCGTTACCTGTTAATTCGTTTTATTTTTCAGAAATGCTACAGTTATTAAGCCTGATGAATATCGTATATTTGCTGGTTCTTCCTTATTGACTAATGATACTTCTGCGGATCGTATAAGAAATATTGCTAATTTTACCATACATCCAGAATACACAGGATCACCAGGCTATGTTAATAATATTGCAATCATAACAGTAAGTTTTATTTCATATTAATAAAACTATTCAAAATATGTAAATTTTAAAAAATACAAATGTAATATTTCAGTAAACGCGACTGATGGTCTTGTGGTCCCGAGTTCGAATCCCTAGTCAATTTAAAATCAGATAATGAGTTCTTTTCTGACATGAAATCCTCAATAGCAGCCCAGAGTCAGGAAGCTCGGTCTCATAAGATTACCGTCCCATCGAAATATGGGAGTGAGGAAATAAAGAGTGCACCTGTGTTTGCTCATACACCCGGGCACTGTAATCCTGTCATGTGCAGATGGCTAGTCTCGGTTGAGACTGGCCACCGCGACCGAAATTTGATCTGGAGGACATCAATATATGAAAAAATTTATAGTAAAAAATATTTTTAAAAACAATTTAAAAATATTTTTTACTAGAATTTTCACCCGTTTCCATACGTGGTAGAGCCACGCTGCAGATATATTATGATTGTAGCACGAATGGGTCGGCTTGATCGGGAAAGGAACACGCTCTCACAGAATACCAGCGTAAAATAGTAGTTTAATACTGCTATGTTTCATATTGTGAGTGTAGAGATCCGAAGACATTTTTTCACTATGTGTACTCGTAGTTCAGTCCTTAAGGGTTACAACACATCTGCTTTTTAATTCTTAATCGAGGATAAATGTAGATGTCTATGGGCCACAGCATCCACTTACCATCAGGTTGACTGTGTGCTCGTTTGTCACCCTTATTCTTAAAAAAAAAGGAAAAAAAGAATAAACTTTAAATTAAATCAAACCCATTAATTTATTCCGTAACACAATTTATATGATATAAAGGCTTGTTGCAAGATTTACCTATTTATAAAAAACAATTTTTCTCTTAGTGGCATTACATACTTATGTCAATTTGAAGTTACTAATTGTAATCTTGTTTATGTATAAAGGCAAATCTCGCGACAAGTTTTTATATAACATAAATCATGTAATGTAATAAATTGACAAGTTTGATTTAATTTAAAATTTATCTAATTTTTCTTAGAGTACCTATCTAAATAAAAGCTTGTTTTGACTTGACCAGAGATAATTAAAAACTAAAATTTTTTTTTTTTTTATCTTTTGGGTGTTGAACTTTCAGCATTTCATTTTTAGTCATCAGATCAGCTATATGTCATATTAATATTGTGTTGATTTATTAGACCTCAGCCATATTGGATTAAAGATGACGTCACTTTACTTATTGTGTTTTGCTCACCAATCCTTTTCATTAGGTACCCATATTATAGGGGTTACTAAGGAAATTATAAATCGCCATTTTGAAACGTCTGCCATACTGGATTTTGAATGACGACACTGAACTTTTTGTGCTTCGCTTATCAAGCCCTTTTATTTGATGCCCATACCATAAAGATTGCCGTGGCAACGATAAATCGCCATTTTGTGACGTACGCCATATTGGATTAAAAACGGCAGCGTTTAAGTAGTCGTTGTCGTTGTCGTCTCATTGTCATGAGAACCAAACGTGTTTGCCAAATTTTAGCTCGGTAGCTTCAGTAGATGTGGTTGGAATATTGATTGCAAAATTCCAGGACATACATACAAGTGAAGTTCAATAAAAGCTTTTAATATTAATAAATACATATTATTCCTAATTAGAACAAATTCATTTGTCATATATTTATGTACGTAATAGGATTTACTTTTATTAGTTTTTAGTTCGCAATATTTTCTCGCCGCTTTTGACGAGGGCTATACAATACGGTATTTCAATTTACAGAAGTCATGATTGTATAAAGTTTTTAATGCCACGCATTTACGCCTTGGTAAAATTAGCGTCTTTTCAACATGTATTTTTAAAAGGCGTAAATTTTAATATTAATTCTTAGCAGAATCACCATACAAGAATATACGCAGACAATAAAACATTCTGGTTAATGGTAGGACGTTTTTATAAAATAATAATTAGCTACATAAATTCTTTACCAAGTTTTAGAAAACGGAATAAATTTACACATGAAATTATCTTTGTTTGCCTGTCAATCAAATAGAGACGTAAAAGGGTAAAAGACGGGGATTAAATTAGAAGTTGATAATTTTTTTAAAACATCAGTTAAAAGCTCATTGATGCACCATTTGAATCAATGTATTAATGATTATTTTTTGCTTTGTTTTCGTAGAAAAAAAGGTTACATACACACAAGGGTTTCCTTCTGTATCATTGGCAATGTTAACATACTCGTACATAAACTTCACAATAACAATAGCCCAGATCCGAAACAATTATTTGTAGACCATACAAATATTTGTTCCATGCGAGCTTTGTCATATAATCCCAATTTTAGTTTCAATATTGCTGTCTTTTGCCGCATATCTTAAAGTACTGTTTAAAAAAATTAAACATAAAATAAATTGATCAGAAAAAACTAATCCTATTAAAATGTTTAAAAAAATATTTTTTCCCTCTGGTAATAAATAAGAATCTAACGACATCACGCACTTCAAAATTCATCAAAACGTTCAGACCACAGGAGGTATATACATACATATGAACATACACATACATTATAATGCAGTTAGCTACCCTAAAAATTCTTTCAGCGTATGTAATACTACATTTTTTACCGCGGCTTCGTGTGGGCTTTAATTTATTTATGTTTTTAATAAATGTTGTTCCGTGACAAATTAGCAAAATTCGATCACTATTAGAGTCACCTCTCTGTCTGAATCTCTTTTTTTTTATATAGTAGAGGGGGCAAACGAGCATGCGGCTTACCTGCTGTTAAGTGACCACCGCCGCCCATGATCAACCGCAACACCAGGGGGAATTGCAGGTGCGTTGCCGGCCCTTTAGAAAGGAGTAAGCTCTTTTCTTGGAGGTCCCCAGGTCGTATTGGTCCGGAAAAATTGCCGGTGGTAAGTATCGGAGGTTGTACGCGGAAGAAAATGATAAGTGGTGGACGCCGAAGGGTGTGATATCGGGACGTTTGCCGCGTAGTGCGTTCACGAAATTTGGCGGCTGAGATTAATCCGAACAATTCCTCAGAGCACTCTCCATGGTATATGCGAAAGAAAATGCAAAGGGATGAAACATCTCTTCGCAGTGCCAGTGAATCGAGCCGATCGGAAAGCACTCGGTCGTCGACGATTCGGGCCGCTCTGCGCTGGATGCGGTCAAGTGGAAGGATCTGGTACTGGGGAGCCCCAGCCCAGAGATGGGAACAGTATTTCATGTGCGGCCGAACCTGCGCCTTGTAAAGTTGTGGACGTTGTGCCGGCATGAAATAATGTTCCGCTCTGCTGAGCACGCCAAGCTTTTTAGAGGCCAATTGGGCCTTCTCTTCCAAGTGACCACGAAATTGCACGTCACTCGATATGTCGACGCCGAGGATTCCGATACTGGCTGAGGAAACAAGGGGAGTGCCTTGAAACTGAGGGGATACGACAAAGGGGTTCTTTTTAGCGGTTAACGTGCAAACGTTGTGTCTTCTGGGGGTAAAACTGGACTAGGTTTAGTCGCCCCCAATCCGAGACTCTGCTCAGTAAAGACTCGACTTCAGACACAAGTTGTTCCGGCACTCGGAGACGTTTTCCCGAGAAATATTGGCTCGACCGGTGTAAAGAGCATCACCAGTGCTGTCATCTGCATAGCAATGAATGTTACGGGTTTGCAACATATCATTGATATGCAGAAGAAACAGCGTTGGCGATAGCACGCAGCCCTGTGGAACACCAGCATTAATAGGCTTGCAATCGGAACTTGCACCGTCTACAACGACCTTGATGTTCCGATCTGCAAGAAAGCTGGTGATCCAATCGCACAATTTCTCGGGAAGCCCATAGCAAGGGAGCTTCGAAAGGAAGCGCTTTGTGCCAAACCCGCTCGAAGGCCTTCGCAATGTCCAAACTAACGGCCAATGCCTCCCACTTGGACTCTAGTGCCTCCGCCCATCTGCGAGTTAGGTAGACCAGAAGATCACCAGCTGACCGACCACGGCGAAAACCGTATTGGCGGTCACTAATCAGCTGGTGATCCTCAAGGTACCTCATGAGCTGGCAGTTTACAATGGACTACTTTGTTTTGGAGAACAAGGAGGTGATGGCGATAGGCCGGTAGTTGGACGGGTCTGAGCGGTCGCCTTTTTTTGGGATCGGGTGGATGAAAGCCGCTTTCCATGATTTTGGAACTATGCCTAGGGAGTAGGAGTACCGGAAAAGACGCGTTAAAACCGGTGCCAACTCTGGAGCACACGTCCTCAGCACAATTGAGGGGATTCCGTCAGGCCCACTCGACTTGTGATGGATGTCCAGGGAGAGAAGTGCTTTGCGAACCGAGCTCTGTGTGAACTGCACTTCCGGCATGGAGCACTCACACCACGGGATGGTCGGCGGCGTACTCCCCCCGTCATCGAGAGTCGAGTTAGACGCAAAGAAAGAGCCTAGAAGATCGGCTTTCTCCTTTGCGGTATGGGCCAGTGAGTCGTCCTCCCTGTACAGAGATGGAAGAGATGGCTGACAGAAATTTCCCCGGACTGCCTTGGCGAGAGACCAGAATGCACGGGTTCCAGAAGGAAGGCGAACTAGTTTCTCGCCAATTCTGCCTATGTGCTCTGACTTTGCCTTGGCAACAACTCTTTTGAAGGACCTAGAGGCGGAATTATACTTCTTTTTTAGAGCGCTGGTGTTTACATCCCGGGACGCTGATGCGTCAGCCCAGGCTTGGTAGCACTCCTGCTTATAGCATGATGCTATTTTACAGGAGCGACCAAACCATGGCTGAGATTTGCCTCCAATGGGCACCACAGAGGAAGGAATAAAAAGTTCCATACCCTGAAGTACCACATCAGCGACAGAATCCGCAACGATCAGAAACGCAACGTTGGGATCGTCCGGCGAGAAGCAAACCCGCCCCCAAGGGTAGGATGCAAAGAAAGACCGCATCCCATCCCAATCGGCCGACCTATAGTGCCAAACACGGCGGCAGCCTGCATAATGCAACCGCGATTTCAGCGTGATTGGCACCACACTCCGGACAAGACAATGGCCCGGGGAGCCTAAAGGGGCGTCGACGGAAATCTGATATCCGTCCAGGTGAGAGGTCAGCAGAAGGTCCATCAGGGAAGGTGCATGATCCTCCACATCTGGAATCCGCGTAGTCGAAGTAACCAGTTGTGTAAGACCATATGCCAAGGCAAAATCATGAACAGATCTCCCCGCATGATCGGTTAAACGTGAACCAAGCCATTCGGCGTGATGGACGTTAAAATCGCCGAGGATCACGATCTCTGCGGAGGGGATCTGCTGTAGCAACGAATCTGCAGCCATTTGGACATGGTCGAAGAGTCGGTCTGTTTCGGCATTACCGCTATGGGACCTATAAAGGCACCCGTATACGCGCGGATGGTCGTCGCTGTCTACGCGTAGCCAAAGGATGGACAGGTCCGAACCTTCAAGTCTACCAAAGCGTCGAGAACAGATGTCCTCTCTGACGTAAACGCAAACTCCAGCCCGAGGCACGAAGGAGTGTTCCAGTTTGTACCCCGGGTAGGATAGATACGAAACATCAGCCGGAGAGGACACCTGCGTCTCGGTCAGAAAGAGCAGAGTCGGCCTCGCCGTCTCGAGATGGTAGTGGACGGCGTTTAGGTTAGAGTGAAGTCCCCTGATATTGCAGAAATTCACGGACAGCGTGGCAGGGGTCGCCTTGGTCTTGTTGCTCCGTTTGCCCCGAGCAGTTGTAGTCTTGAGCGGAATTTTGCCCCCCCCCCCCAGAATACGTGGGGCAGCCTGAGCACCCACGCTCAGAAGTGGAGAAACATGGTCGTGGATGCTCAGCGAGGGATTCTCCAGGGGTGCTGGTACCCTCCTGGGGTATTCTATCATTTAATTCCGCTACCATGTTGATGGGGGGGGGGGGATTTTGGGCTTCCGGCCACCTGCACTCACCAGACGAAACGCGGAAGCAGAGCTTCCACTTCACGCCGGTATTCTGTGAGTTCGTGGTACCACCCCGGTTTGAGCCGAGATTTTAACACTTCTTTATTTTATCATTACATTAAAATTAGTTTTAACAAAACAATGATGAATTTCTTTGTTGTATATTATTTTACGGTATGATCCATCCCATTTAATATTGATTGGCGCATAAAATAAATGCTGATATTATTTTTACGTTCGAGTAGACTGAAAATTTCATTAAATAAGTTTTATAGAGATTTATTATATTTACGCGAATACTACATGTAATAAAATTAAATTTACGAATTTTACGTATTTAATTTTAACTTTTTCTACGTGGGTCTTTTTTACGCGTCTTTGGATGAAAGATTCGTAAAAACAGACAGAAAAAACAGACAGATAGACACATGGACAAAAATTCTTATAACCACTAATTTGGATTCAGTACCCTTTACTTAGTACCCTGGACTTGTTTTGCAAGATTATAATATGTATATATAAGTTTTATTTTCATAATTATTTTCATAGTTGATAGTCTTAAACATGTAAATTAAGAATAAAAATCGAAATGAAGAAATTTTTCCTTAAAAGTTGGAATGGCTAACGAAATATATTTAAGCTTTTTTATTTGCCGTCTATTATCCGTAGGGGATTTCAATTGTTATCACTCATTGATTCGTTCTTATCTAATGTGCAAAATGAAGAACTGAACTAATCGAGTGGATTGCTTTATTACGTAAAAAGATAAAAAAATATACCTACTTTATTTATTTATATCCAATGACACATTAGTCAGCAAAGGTAAACGAATACGGCTAGTTATTTTTGAAGTTTCCGACACAATTCAACGTATCGTAGACCACGCTATATCTACGCTATATCTATCGTATATAGTCGTATTCGGTCTGTGATTTCGTTATCACATAAATCATTTACTTCACTAGCAACGCGACCTTAGAATTCATTAGGTACCACTTAACATTCAAAAAGCGCAATCTTTACAGTCTTTTAAAGAACTACATAAGGAGTATTATTTGAAGTTCCCATCATAATAATAAATTATATGTATTTCCTCTTTTCATATATATTTAATTTTTTTTGTTAAATTTTGTCTGCAGTATATGTTTGAATATATTAAATTAAAATTATTGTACGTATATATATATATATATATATATATATATATATATATATATATATATATATATATATATTTAATCATTAAATATTTTATATATTATTAATACATTTTTATAAAAATTATTTTTAATAATATTTTTTTCAGTTTATTTCATATTGCACGTTGCACCAATCAGTCAAAATATAAAATTATAATGTCCTTTTATGTTCGGTTTGTCAGGCAGAAATCGCTTATAGCGATATGACCGCCGTTTGTAGTCATAAGTTTTCCGTTATTGTAACAACTTTGTTCAAATGCAATAAAGAGTTATCTATCTATCTATCTATCACATATAAAAATCATTTTTTAACTCGAAATAATTTCGTAATAAATTTTTTTAGATGAAATACAAATTAAACTGGCCTCGCTACAAGATTTTCTCAATACATATGAGCGATGGATAGTATAAACAAAATAGCATTTGGTTATTTTTTAAATCTACACATTTGTTTCGGTTAAATTAGAATAAACGAGAACACGTAAGTTTCATAAAAGCGTCATGCGACGCACACACAAGCGCAGGATTAACGGTTGTTTTAAATATCGCGTTAATCATTAGTCTGTCTGTTACTATAGATGAAGACCATGCTTGTGTGCGTAAGTTGCAGAGAAATATTGATTAATATTTACTAAAACCTTTTAAGTACTCCCAAGAATTAAACACCTAATGTTTTTTTTTAATATTAATGAAATTATAGTAAAAAAGGAATCTCTCGGTAGGTCTTAAACACTATTATCTTGAAAGTGAATCAGTTTTACTTCAAAGGTGATCTTTTTTTTTAAATAAGATAATCCACCGCCATTATTTAACTTATCATTATCAGGTTAAAATATTATTGAATGATAAATTATCTAGTGAGATATCAGTGATTTCTAATCGACTTTCCATGTTTTAAATTTTGGTCCTTATTTGATTACACATTGATAATACTTTTTACCGTGTGATAATAGAGTAGGAAAATCCTTTACCCCAATTCATGTCGTAGGTGACGTAAGAGGCGACCATAGAAAATGCGAGAATAATCTAATGACTTCTGAGAGATGACGGTGAAACCATTTCGTTTCATCATCATCACTACAGCCTCTCACAAGTCCACTGCTGAATATAGGCGCGGGAGCGGCAGCCGCAGTTTTTTATTGTTATTTTGCTGTTATCGGGAAGATACTGCTGCATATTCTGCATCAGTTTCCCACTGTCACCTCTTACGGCACCCACGGGAGGATATGGTTTAGTAGAAATTCTTTCCCGTCGCTATATTACATCATGTTTAAGTAGATCTTAAAATATTTAGATCAACGATGGGCAGCGGCATCTAAGATGCAAGATTTCGTACTGCGATCGTTAATAATAAGCACTTATCCAGCTTTCAACTTTTACGCGCGGACAATGGAGTAAGAAAGAAATAACTAATACATTAAACTTTGAGATAATACTGTAATAAAATACAACTTTAATAACGTGTGATGTTGGTTAGTCCCTCTCCACATATTACCGCCGATTAACACAATGAAGAGGGATATACGGAAAGCTAAGACTGAGGATTATTACTTGGAAGGTGGCTACAAGCTTGACATTTGTATAATTACTGTAATAAAATACAATTGTAATATTATTACTTGGAAGGTGGCTACAAGCTTGACATTTGTATAATTACTGGATTATTACTTGGAAGGTGGCTACAAGCTTGACATTTGTATAATTACTGTAATAAAATACAATTGTAATAACGTGTGAAGTGAATACTGTAATAAAATACAATTGTAATAACGTGTGAAGTTGGTGAGTCCCTCTCCACATATTACCGCCGATTAAAACAATGAAGAGGGATATACGGAAAGCTAAGACTGAGGATTATTACTTGGAAGGTGGCTACAAGCTTGACATTTGTATAATTACTTGTCGTCAATTAAATAATTTTCCTGTTTATTTACAGTTTACTGCACCTTACAGCAATGCAGTTGTACAACCTTTGTCACTGCCGGCTAGTGATTTCCAGCCGGCTGATTTTACTCTTTGCACAATGGCTGGGTGGGGCGGAGCTAACGCTTCAGCCTCGGTAAGTGTAGCGGCTCATTCGTGTAATTCGATCACTTTCTCTGCAACATTTTAAGATACTATAGTGTACTTATCTAACAATTGTGTACCAAAACTGGTGGTTTTAACTTGAATCTCTTGGACTTTTTTTTAGATATATAACAGTTTTAAATGATATTGTAATTAATGTTATTTATTTTATGTTAAAATTTCTTTCAGGCTAGCACAACTCTAAGATATGCAAATAAATACATTTACAATCAACATCTTTGCTCCTTATTATATAACATCGACCCTATTTCTTTGAATATTTTGCCCTCCATGGTATGTGCTGCATCGTATGATACGATATCTTCTGGTTGTGAAGTAAGTATTCTATTTCTTTAATTTTAATTACCGTTTTTCATTGCCGTCTGAATTCACTGCTTTCAAGTTTTACCTACTGGCATGTAATCTTAACAGAATTGCCCATATCTAGTGAACAACCAAGTTGGTGAGCAAATACCGTCGAACTGGTAACAGTGCTCCCTATCAACCGTCTGGTAGACGTTACAATACTATTATAATATACTCATTCGGTATTAAACGCAAGGAAACCGTTTGAATCGTTGAATCTTTATATTATTATTTACAATTTAATTTTTTTATTCCAGAGAGACGTCGGAAATCCATTGGTTTGCAATAATATTTTGACGGGCGTACTATTTGGCACACATCAATGCCAAATATCTTCTTATCCCGAACTATATACTAGAGTTTCCACCTACTCGGACTGGATTAATAGTGTATCAAGTGCACCAAATATTTTCTCCTCTGGTACTGTTTTGTTATTTATGATTGTGGTAACCTTTTTATTTACAGTAAATAATGATTAGCTATATTAAATAAACAAAACTACATATCACTTTATATCGTATTATTTACTTTTAATTATAGATGAACGATTTGTATTTGTGTATACGGCGGTCGAATAAGATTGGAGTCTGTTAAATGCATGTATATGTATTTCTATAAAGTGTCGGTTTAAATAAATGTCGTTTTTTATTAATAGTATTTATGTTTTTATTTTAGAGCAAAAATTAGATACCTTAAAATTAATTAAAGGTATCTAATTTTTTAAGATAAAAATTATTCAATAGACTTTAACTAAGGCCAGCTTCGAGTTAGGTCAGTTTTCCATCAAGATTATTTACGACTGAGAAAGAATTATCATGTAATATAGGAATTTTCTAAACTAAATATTTTTGTAATACCTATTCATCCAAATGTAATTTTTAAAAGTTCCAAACACGTCGAAAGTATTTTCTATATTTAAAATAAAAAAATAAAAATTTAAGTATTATTTTGAGCAGAAAATTTCGAGATTTGCCGAGCACACAAAATATAAATAAATAAAATGTGAATAAGTCATAGGAGATGTATTTGGGAAATATCAGAAAATACTTCAAGAGGCTGATAGAGAATCAGAATAATAAATTATTACTAACGGCTCCATGACGCAAGTGCTTAGCAATGAGTTTCGTTGCTAAAGGTCGCGTATTCAAATCCTGCACTGAACAAGTAGTTGTACGGACTACAAATAATTGTTCTGAGACTGGAAATTTGTCTTCAATTTATATAAATGTAAACAGCCGTTAATGTTTTTATAAAGCTAACAAAACTTATTTGTACTTGTATATTAATTTTTACTTAAGGCAAAGGATATTTAATAAAGAATTATTTCTATACTGACTTATTACCTTTATTCGTAAATTTCTCAGATCAAAAAGAATAAAACAAAATGACGAGATGTTAAGAGTAATAAAATTGCCCATTATTTAAGATTATAATTTCGTTTTATTTATTTAAAAATAAGTAGAATGTTATGTAGATAAGGACAAATTCATGTTGTGTAATTACGCATATTATTTGATTTAATAACGATATTGGATAACGTCGGACTGCCTCGTTGGTCGGTCGTAAGCGCGTCAGTTGATTATGAAGTCCCGGGATTCCATTCCGGGACTTCATAATCAGATCAATTAAAAGACGCCTTTAAATTAACAATCCTGGATATAACAAATAAATTGACGAATTAGAAAATTCGTACACTCATTCATTGCAGCCCATTAAAACTTCCTTAACATAGGCCTGACTGAGTAGTTGCGGTGTTCACTATTCCATATCAGTCAAACAGGCGACAAAGGGAAACTAACCAGGATAGCAGCGTCTTCCTGATAGCGACAAAAAATTGCGGTTATATATATCTGAGTAAAGGATGTCAGTTATGCCACTACGTTGAACCATCGTTTTTAGACGCATTTAAATACCAAGGTGCCTGTGATGATATTACCTACCTGATGATGGTGGACTCCGAAGGTGAGTGTCTTAGTGACAACACTAGAGAGGATGATCATGTTTGACCTCATTTGAAAGGGCTCATAAGGACCTAGGTGAAAGTTATGATCTTACCTTTCTGATAGTGTAATCTGAAGATGTGTATAGGATCTTAGTGACGGAACTATTTTTATATTTTCATTATTTTTAATCTATAAATTATTACTACTACTATAACCTCTCAACTGTGGATGTCCAAGACTTGGAACGAAAATATCTCCTTTGACTGCGGGCGTCCAAGTGTTAGACATTTTTTACCCGCTCTTTTAATGAAGAAACAAAGCATTATGCGTTATTTCTAACTCATTCTACCACATGTCAATGTGTACAGAATAAAAAAGGCTAGCATAAATACCTCACAGTTTATACACTTTAGTAGTATATTTTATTTAAATCATTCTTAAATGTCGTCCGTTCCTTGAGTAAGCCATTAGTGTGATTGACGCGCGCTAACAACGAAATTGTTTGTAATTATTTTGTATTAATTTATATTTATTGGGTGGTGAATTGTGTTAAAACAATGCCTGGGTAAGTAACCTTCTTATTTGTAATCTCATTTTGTGTTTTATCTTATTAAGTACGTGTAAAATCGTTTTTAATATGTATGAAGCAAACTGCTATTTTAGAACTAACATGTTGGTTGAGGAAAGTTGACTTGAAATGTACGTAAAATTTTAGTGTTGACTGTCAGTTTTGTGTTAAAATATGTGTAATTGTTTATCGTTCACAGTTTTAGTACATCAAAATGAGGATACAGTGCAATATTTTCAAAATTTTAATGTAAATACGCAATAGGTGCAATAGTGTCCATTTTTGAGACGTCCGAATCGAATCGAATCGAATCGAATTCTAGTTCTCTGTTTTGCGGGTGGCGAAAAAAGGAACTAAAGTTTGCCATACTGCATCAAGTTCAAATTCGGTTGAATGGTTAGAATGGTAAAGAATCTAGGGCCCTCGAGCAGAGAAACGGAGCTTGGTTGTCTCCACGATTATTCGATGATTTATGAAAAATTGAATGTGGCATTTGGATATGTCATGTATGTATGTAACACAAGACTTCGAAATTTTTTAAACAATTTATTAAATCAGAAAATTAGAAAGTATTTACATAATATGCTTTTTAATATTTTTATTTTAATATTTTTTAATATTTAATATTTGAAATTTTTATTTTTTTAATTTAATATCACCTCAGACACATATTTCTTATATTGGTTTTTTTAATGTACATTTTATCTGTATGTACTTTGCAAATCGTGTAACTTTGCGTTATGTTTCAACATAGAGCAAGATTGCTGCTACCTACAGTAATTCTAATAATAAATATAAAATTCGTAAATGAATTGTACTGTAGATACAGTAAATCCAACAAGTACCAGGAGCCTTTTAAAGAAATGAGTACCTATATTATATATTTATTCAAATTTATACTTATGTCCATCCATCCATTTAGTTTTTATTGTTGTCTAGCTATAATTTGTTCAGCTAATTATTTCGGACTATCATTGTCAAAATTGTTAAGTTAGTTAAGTTATACAGCCTATTTCCGTCCCACTGCTGGGCCTTCCCTCACTTCTGAAAGGGTTTTAGGGCAAAGAAGTGTCCGCCGCGCTGTGAAAGTGGTAGCGTACTGTGAAATTTAACGCAAGAGCTAACAATCTGAGCTACCAGGGCTCTCTCATCGTCGAAATAAATACTTAAGTTAGTTAAGTCACAGCCTTTTTATGCCCCACAGCTGGGTAAAGGCATCCCCTTATTTCTCAGAGGGTTTTAGGGCAAATAAGTTTCCGTCGCGCTGCCCCAATGCGTGTTGGCGAACTTCACATGTCTTCGAAATATTTTTTTTCTTATTTCACAGACGTGCAGGTTTCCTTACAATGTCTTTCTTCACCGCCGAGCACGTGGTAGATCAGCACTTAAAATTGCAATTAACAATTTCATTATTGCTAGCGGGGATCGAACCCGGCTTGCTAGCGTACTGTGAAATTTACAGCGAGAGCTAACCATCTGAGCTACCACGGCTCTTCTGAGCCACCACGGCTCTCATCTTTGACATGAATACACCTCTTTGTTTTGTATGTTTTTTTTCTATAGGATAGGGTGACAAACGAGCACGCAGTCCACCTGTGGTGGTTGCTGTGGCCCATAGATATCTACATCTATCCTCGATTACAAATCAAAATGCAGATGCGTGTCACCCGTGAGGACTAAGATGGAACGCCTCGTTTCTAGTAAAAAGGCTCTCCGGTTCTCTAAACTCACCATACGAAACACAGAAGCATTAAGCTATTATTTCACGCTGGTATTTGGTGAGAGCGTGGTCCTTCCCCGGTCGAGCCGGCCTATTCGTGTTACAACTATACTACTAATATAACTGCAGCATGGCTCTACCACGTATAAAAAATCTTTTAATGAACTAGTACATGATGCACAAAAAAGTGCAGAATCGGACTTTAATTGTGGCATATTTTTGTAAAATGCATAAGAAGTGGGTTCTTTAAAAATATACATAAATAATATTTTTTATTTCAGGAAGAGATATATTTATTTTAAATTTTATTATTTCGTACCTATTATTTGAGTTAAAGAAAATATGTTACTTTTTGGAGAAATAATGTTGTTGGTTATTGGAAATGTAACATAACCGCTGCGCACCTCGCGGCGCCTATGTCACTCGACACATATTATGGTGCATTGGGTATTGTTTATAAAAAACGTTATTAATAACTCTACATCAGCGGGAGTGACCCTTGAGTGGTTTTAAGGTTTTTAAAGGAATTAATGAATCTTTATTTCTGTACAAGTGCTGTTAAAGTTTGTTTGCTCAAATAAAGTAATTAATTTTTCAATAATTATGGCACTTACGACTAAAATTTTGACAGCGATTATTCTTTTACGCGAATTTTTATGGACCTTTCATTCAAAGATGCATAAAAAGACCCACGAAAAAAAAGTTAAAATTAAACGCGACCAACTTCATGCAACCTTCTACGCATGGTTTGGTCGCTTACTAGCAGCTGATTGTCCTCTTAAAGCCTTTGTAGTAATTCGTAAATTTAATTTTATTCCATGTGTAGTATTTGCGTAAATATAAAAAATCATTATGGAACTTAATTTATGAAATTTTGCCTAAATTTTGACTACTCGAACGTTAGAATAATATCAGCATTTATTTTATGATGCCAATCAGATATTGAATGGGACCAATGATATGAATTAAATGTCGCATATAAACATCATACCTTAAAGTAGTAGACAACAATGAAATTCATCATTGTTTTCTTAAAACTAAATAAGATTTTATGATGAAACAAAGTGAAATGTAAAATATAAATAATGCAATTTTGATTCTAAGACTTAACTTTCTCATGGACACATCGGAAGACACGCCTGATATAAAAAAATAGTTGATGTTTACGGATACGAAATATTAATGCAATTAAGAAAGACTTATCTCTTCACGCGTTCATTTACGTCCAAATTAATGAACAACACTAAT